CGCATTCGTGAAGACGTGAACAGGTTCCTTCAACTAGGAAGTTGCACTCGGAAAGACCTACAACCATTGTTAAGTTCTTTAAACTTCGCATATTATTGCTCAGGGGAGATAATTTATTTCTAGACTGTTATGCTTATTACCAGGTCTGCCCGACGTGGATATTGGTCACTTAGATCCTCCGGCAAAGGCAGACCTGGTCATGTGGCATGAGTTCTTAGACCACTGGAATGGGATTTCAAAGTTCATTCCACCAGTATCTGACCAATCCCCAGTCTTTTGGACAGATGCAGCCGCTAATACTGGGTTTGCAACAATCTACAAAAAACACTGGTTAATAGATTGCTGGCCGGAAGAGACACTTGATCTACCTTCCTTTTGCGAGACATTTGCATTATTCGAAATTTACCCGATAGTGGCGGCTGCATTCAAATGGGCAAATCCTGGTCAGGCATGGCAGTTAAATGTTATACTGACAACATGGCAGCCTGCAACATAATTAATAAGGGTCGATCATCTTCATTGACCATTATGCGGTTAGTTCGCAGGCTGACCTGTTTGGCTGCCCCATTTCAGTTCTTCCTCTACTGCGAATACATCCCAGGCTACACCAACTCTGCCACTGATGCTTTGTACCATTGTAAATTGCAGGAATTCTTAATTCTTCACCCAACAAATACCTGAACCAAACTCTGGATTTCAACAATTTAATCTTGGACTAGCCTGGCTATTGGCGCATGGCAAGGAATTAGCAGAAGTAGCCTTATCCGCAAACACTAAGAGAACATCCAATAGAGCCATGGTCCTTTTTCAGAGGTTCTCCGTAGAATTCAACATTCACGATCATTCGATTCAAACCATGGTTGCATTTGCTGCATTTTGCCACCTTCATCTAAAACTTTCATACAACACTATCAAACTCTACTTATCAGGCATACAGCATCACGTTCTGACAGCCATTCCAAATCATACTCCTTTTCTTTCTGCTTACCCGGTAAAGAATATATTAAAAGGTATTAATAAATTAGATCATTACACTACACGAAAACGTTTACCCATAGATGGGGAGAAATTCCGGGCGTTATCAGACTTACTGGACACACTACCATTTGAACCCAATACAAACCTAGTTATAAAAACCTCTATGTACATAGCATTCTATGGATTCCTGAGACCTAGAGAATTCACGATTACAGCCCAATGAGACAGTCAATTATGTCTCATCATGAAAGACTTAAAAAAGGTGAACGATCACTACCTCCTGTCACTCCGACATTTTAAAACCAAACCATTAGGCCATCCATTAGAACCTTCTACCTTACCGAGAATCACTGGGGCCCTGTTAAAGTCTTAGACACTTACCTAGTACAGGTTAAGGACAATCCCAACCACTCTCCACTGTTTACACTAGACAGTCCCCTAACTACTTCTAAATTTATGTTCTACATTAGAACTCTGCATTAAATTAGGTTGGGACCCTTCCTCTTATTCGGGACATTCGTTCAGAATAGGGGCCGCATCAGCCGCATCCAGTATAAATATTCCAGTACACATCATTAAAAAATTAGGATGTTGGAAATCTGCAATATACAACAGATACATACCGTAACCAGAGAAAGAGTTAAAGCAAGCGTTTAAAAATATTGTATGACAATCATGTTGGTAATAAAGTTGCATTTCCTTTTGCCCTCTTTTTTTACAGGCCTTTGGTTTCAAACCTTCTCCCACTGGTGATGACGGACGGCATATAGGGTACAGATGGAAACTTATAGTTTAAACAGTTTAGGCTGTCAGTTGTTCAAATCCCCATCTTGCCGCTGAAACACAGGCCTGCAACTGTTCAGGTAAGTGCATTAGTAATTTAGATTAAAACTAGTATAGGCACTTGGGTCTTTGTTCTTTCAGTCCCTCCCAGCTGCTTACATTAGGCTTCCTGCTAACAAATAGATCATATTTAGGAGGTTTGTGTGGTGCGCATTTAGGTAAGTCTATACATGCAAGGATGCATTGTGCAAAATAATGCTGATAATGCAAGGAAGCATTGTGCTAATAATGGATATCATGGCTGTATAAAGTCTGCTGGAATTCCACAGTCCTGAAGACAGAGAAATATCCAAGGTAAGAGAAAACTTTCTTGGATGACTGATTAAAGTACACACATGTACATGACAGGTTTTAAAACCTAACTCTAAGTCCGCTCAGACACTTGTTTCTATCAAGACATATAGCATTGATTGCTGTTATCTGTGCATTATTGCAAATAAGCATGCTTTTCCAGAGACTGGAAGAAAATATACCGCAAATGAGACCACTGGGCCTCAGTATCTGTACATGAACTGGTTTGTGGTACAGCATTAGTATGTTACCACTATATGCTCTATGTATGAATTGGTCTGAAGATTCAGTCTCGGTGTGTGTGTGTCCAGTATATGCTCTATGTATGAGTTTCTATGAGGACACAGCCTCAGTATAATTATCAACTATATGCTCTATGTATGGGTTACTTTGAGGACACCGCCTCAGTGTATGTATGCACTATATGCTCCATGTATGAACTACTATGAGGACACAACCAAAATATATGTATCCACTATATTGTCTATGTATGAGTTGGTCTGAAGACTACACCTCAGTGTGTGTTCTCTATATGCTCCATCTCTTAGTTACTGTGAAAACCCAGCCTCAGTATATGTCTTCTACATGCTCTATATGGTGTGAAGACATTGCTTCAGTATATGTGTCCACTATATGAATGATGAATGACGAATGGTTTTTTAGAGAATTTTTTAGAGAGAAGGGAGGAGACGAGGACTGCATTAAAAAAGACATGGAGAAAAAGGAGGGATCCACCACGGTCCCCAATCCAGAGAAAAAGACAAAGAACAGAAGAAGAAAGAGAAGAAATGAACCCAACATAAAAGATGAAGAAAATCAATGTTTTTAACCTATCCAACCACAATTTGAATGATCACGAATTGGCAATATTAAAAAAGGGCCTTAAATTTGCCCCTAATTCAAGTAATCCTCAGTTTAATATATTCATTGATCTCCACAAATTTATTGGGAAACTTACAGTGAAAAAGTTCTTTATTGAAAATAAATATATGAAAAAAAATGAGGAGGAAGATTACATCCACACAGATCTCCATCCCCAATCAGTGTTTTACCCCAACAAATCAAGAGCGACAATATAAAAAATCTTTGAGAAGCTGGTTGAGAAAGATTCAAGGAATTTGAAAAAGGGAAACAAATACAAAGACAATTTAATGCCGAAGGAAAGGAAAGTTCTAAAAGCACTAATGAAAAATCCCAATATTATCATAAGATCTGCAGACAAAGGGAGTGGAGTGGTAGTCATGAATACTATTGATTATGAAAGTGAAAGTACGAGGTTACTCAGTGATCAAGACACCTACCAACCACTTGCGGAGAACCCCCATAAACAATTCATGGAGGAATTTCCATTATTAATCAATGAAGGGAAAGAAAGAGGAATTCTAAACAAGAGAGAGTACGATTTTATTTGGTGTAAATATCCGAAGACAGCTGTCTTTTACCTTTTACCCAAGATCCATAAGAGTCTAACCAATCCCCCTGGAAGGCCGATAATCTCAGAGATTAATTTACTCATGTCCAACCTCTATCAATATGTAGATCAGTTTTTACAACCCATGGTGATTCAACTCAAATCTTACCTAAAGGACACAACACAAATAATTAATACTTTATCTACAATCAATTGGAGGAAAGAATACATCCTAGTCACAGCGGATGTGACCTCTTTATATACCGTCATTGAGCACCTCCAAGGGTGTGAAGCCATACAATGTTCCTTTGCCTGATACTCTGAATTAAAAAAAATGACCAGATCAGCTTTCTGGTACAATCCATTGCTTTCATTTTGAGTCATAATTAATTTTGGGCCCAACAGAAGTTTTATGTAGAGGTAGAAGGCAACGCCATGGGAACCAGGTTTGCACCAAGTTATGCAAACCTGTTTATGGGGAAGTGGAAAGAAGAATTTATTTGGAAAGATTCACCATATAGTGCAAACCTGGTCCTGTGACGGCGCTACATTGACAACTGCATCTTCATTTGGGAAGGCGACCTATCCTCTTTGGATGATTTTAAAAGATACCTGAATTTGGACCCCTATAATCTGAGGTTTACGTTCACACGCTCCAAAACAACAGTGGAATTCTTAGACTTGGTTATATATATCAAAGAAGGGACAATACATTCTAAAACTTTTAAAAAATCCATTGATTGCAATAGTTTTATTTCCTCGAACAGCCATCACAAAAGAACATGGCTTGATAATATCCCCTATGGACAATTGAGACGTATAAGATGGAACTGCACTGAAAAAGAAACCTGCAAAAGTAAGGTGGAAGAAATGCAAGTGCAATTTCTCAAGAAAGGATATGGAAAAGAGATGCTGATCAGTGCTAAAAATAGAGCTTTGGGACTATCAAGAGAGGAAATTCTGGACAATAAGAAACAATCTCCACAATTAAGTACAGAAACCCCAGCTTTTATTACACAATATAGCAATCAAGCGGTCAAAATAAAGAACATTTTAAATTAACATTGGAAAGTTTTGAAAGGGGATACCACACTTGGAACCATCCTGGACGAAAGACCTAGAATCATCTACTTACGGGCTCCAAATCTCAAAATGATGTTAACCCTAACATTAAAGGAAATCAAAAATAGTAACAGCAGTATAATTAATAAAGGGTTTCACAAATGCAACAAATGTATGGGATGTAGGAATAACCCAACACAAGTACCCACAATCAAAGAGTTTAAAAACATGGAAGAAGACAAACGCTTCAAAATAAGGACCAATTTAAGCTGTAACACAGCCACAGTGTCATCTACCTCCTAATATGTCCCTGCAGAAAATACTACGTTTGAAAAACTAAGAGGTCATTCAAGATAAGACTAGGGGAGCATATAAGGAATATCAAAAGGGGACTAACCACCCATAATCTTTCCAGACATTTATCTATATATCTGTAAAGATCTTACCTTGATTGGGAGTCAACAGGCAGAGTTTAAAGCACCCTTTGAAATTTTACACCAGCCAAGGGGACTCAAGGCAGAAATCCCCAAGGCGGTGAAACAGTGCACTAGCGGTGATAATAACCAGTACTTCCAGGAACGAGGTACAGGCAAGGAATATCCAAAAGAGTAGTCAGGAACGGAACCAGTAGTCAGGACAGACAGCAAACAGGCATAAACATAAGACAAGCAGAGGATCAAAACCAGGAGTCAGATTAACAGCAGAAACACCAAACAGGAACAAAACAATCTGACAACGAGACACCAGCCAGGCAGGATTTAAATAGGGAAACATCAGCCACTTATCAGGAACAGGTGTGCAGGGTTCAGGCGGTGAGACACAGACAACAGGATACCAGGAACATCAGCAAATAACCAAAGAGGTGTGGAGCTCAAGGCAAGGCTTCTGACTGGAAAGTAGGAGACCCAGGACTCAAGTATTGCAGAAGGCACAACGACAATTGTGACAATATAACTCAAGTGATCCAGCAGGTATGGAATTTTTGGCTATTGAGAAAGTGAACATCCATTGGAGGAGATTTGGAGAAAGCTCTTTATACGACTGAAGCAAAATTGATTTTTAAGCTCAATAGTCTGGAACCTGTAGGCCTGAATTTAGATTTTGAACTCAACACTTTCCTTTAACATGAAAATCTCTTACCCTAGATATTATTAATTAATCTTTTTATTCATTTTTTACCCTAACTTCGTTTTAATTGGGTAATCTTTTTTTTCCTTTCTTTTTTATGATATTTTGCAGGATATGCCAAGTCTTTAAAGTTTTATACCATTAACCCAATTATAAAGTTTATTATTATTTTTCACTTAGTATAACTATACCAACTAGTTCAATTGATCCAGTTCTTTTCCCTTTCTTCTAGATGATTACATCAGTATATATAGCGGTCTTTTGTAATTTATACACTTTTTCTCCGTTTTGGTAACCATTTTTGACAATTTTTATTTCTATTTTTCATTTTATTTTTCATTTCATTCTGATTTTTTTTATTTTTATTTCATTATTATTATTATTATTTATTATTTTTCTATTTATTTATCGATTTTTATTTATTTATATTTTCATTATTATTTTTTTCACGATTGTTTCATTTTTATTTCTCAATCTGTAACTTTTTATTTTATTTTTGTTTTTATTTTATTTTTATTTTAATTATACTTTTATTTTATTTTTTATTTTTTATTTTATTATTCATTTATTCATTTTCTTCTAGTTTATTGATTATCAGTTTTTGAATTTTGATTGATCTAGTTCTAAGTGCACATTGTTATTATATATTAATATGTCTGTAATTATCTCATTTTGTATTATCTACAGATCTAAATGGTTCTAAGAAGATATTGGATATAGCCATTTAAATAGGCTATAAAAACAATTTTAATTGTCCATAATACATTTATATATATATACATATTCTTCATGTCTAATTCTATTTTATATGTATTTCTAGTTAGCTATGTTTAATTTATAATCTTGTATGTCTCTTCATACCTAAATTATCTAAAATTCATAAATTGCATATATATGGTAAATAGTATTTTATGTATTAATTTCTCTTAGTTTAGTAGTCACTTCACAATTTGAAATTGTCGGTTTTTATACTCATACATCAGCTATTAATTAAGATGATCTTCTTTTAGTCAATTTCAAATAAAGTTGCTTTTAATTAGGTTTATTCACATCAAGGGTTAACAAAGTTTCCATTGAAGTTTCCCCTGTTTAGATAATTTCAGATAAAGTTACTTTTATTACTTGTATTAATTATATATTCGTTGTAACAATTATGAACTTTTATATTTAGGGTTGATAACCTGTATTGTACATTAAGTTGAAGTATACTTTTAATGTCAAAGTTTAATTTGTTCATTGTTTAATATATTATTTAGCAAGCAAATTTTCAATAAATAAAATGTGATGACACATAAAGGGTTAACAATCCAAAATGAAAATCAGACCGGGAGGTTTAATAACCGAAGAGAACCGATGAGATGCCACCTCTGATGAAGTGATCAGCCAATCACAAAACGCGTAAGGCAGGCATCCTACTCAAAACCCCAAGAAACAGCAAAGTGGAACACATCCAGAGCCGCAGTGGAACGCACGCAGCAGGCAGTGTTTACACAACACAGAGAGATCCTGACTCACTCCTGTCCGGCGGGCGAGAGCAAGACAGCAATATCTTTTGGGTCCTCAGTCAGCCATCTGGTACCTTTGCATCTCTTTGGGACATTTTATAAGTATACTACTTTTATATTTTTGCATGTGTGTTTTATTTTGACAGTGTCTATCTGAAATAAATAGTTAATAGATAGTACCCTGTCTGCTGCACTATTTGATCGATTGAACATCAAGGATATTAACCATTTAAGTTCAATAATACACTTTGATATAATATATCATTCAACAATTTTGTATTGTTTTTTTTTTACTCTCAAGTTACAGAAGCAATATTATATAATCATTTACAGCTTTATCAGTTCTTTCCTGTCCATTCTGTGGGAGGTAAATAGTCTGATAAAAAGCTGATACTATCTCTCAAAATTGGATACAATTATTACATTTGTATCAAATTCCTACTGCTATAAACATTTTTCTATTATACCTATTTGATGCTGTTTCCACTGCATTCTACTATTGATTTAGTTCTCTCGTTACATATGGCATTATTATATAACCCAAATTTATACACAGCCTTAGTATATTTAATATATGCTATTAATCTAAGGTCTGTGTTTTGCGCTGAAATGTAATATATCCCAATTCTACCAAAAACAAATGCACTGTTGTATTGGGTAAGTAACTATTACATACTGTGGATTTTCTATTTCAGTTTTTTAAATGAAGTAGATAAGGAAACATACTGCTTTTGGCTTTGTATTTGATTCCTTTTCCCAGAGGTGTTTCAGGATAAGCAATTGACACAATTAACCACTTCAGATAGATTGCAGGTGTTACTGAACCTGTCTGTGTCCCTCTCCCAGGAGAGAAGGAGACCTGAATTTCCAAAAGTGAGCATGGTAATGTTCAACAGAGTTAATGCTTTTTTGTGTGCACACCTATGTATTTACACATGAGACAATTCTACAAGTGTTTCTATTGCCAGGTATCATCTCCTCTCTGATCAAGATAGTGAATGTTTTTTAAGTTTGGTGGCAGTGTTTAACCTTAATATATCCTGATTGCAGATGCACATCTTAGTAGATCTTGCTTATTACAGATGCACAGCTTAGTATATCTTGCTGGTTGCCGGAGCACAGATTGGGCAGTTATTGCTCCCATAAGTAGGTAACTGAAGCAATTAACTGACTGTTTTCACTGGTGTGTTTATCTTTCTCAAATCTAATTTAAGTGATTCAAAAGTTGTTGATATTGGCTTTTTCTTTCACCTTGTCATGGCTTTAGTAATCATTTTATTTTCTGCAAGCTTCTACTCTGTGAAATTCACTGCTCCTGGTCTGGTTTATAATATTTATTCAGATTTTAGCTCAATGCTCTGGAATTGGTTTAAAAATATTCTTTAGAACTGTGTAAATTCCCTTAAAGCATAATCTTTAGAAGTTGGAAAATGTGCTTCAGTATTCTGCTATTTCATCCCTTGGGGCCTGTAGTTTGACAATCCATTTAATATAGGTCAGGGGTGGCCTACTTTTGGTTCTTAAGGGGTTAAGTCCCCTCTAGTGAAGGGGAACATTATAATTTCCTTTCTGCAGTAACAGGTATTCTTTTAGGCTCATATGCTCCATGTTAATTTGATTCTGGGGTATTTTAATTAGACACATAAAAATGTGGTCAATGGCATTTACCGTCCTGACAGGAAAAGTGGTGCCGAGCAACATTGCCGTCCTGACAGGAAAAGTTGTGCCGAGCTACATTACCATCCTGACAGGAAAAGTTGTGCCGAGCAGCAATCATGCACATGGAAACCTTGTAATTGCTTTCGGGGTCAAAGGCCAGTTACAGCCAATCCGATGCACGGGAGGGGTATTTAAACCCAATTTTTCTCTTGTTCATTGCCCTGTCGTGGTTTCATCTTGATGGTAATCCGAGAGTGCATTCCTGATCTTGATATTCTGGTATTTGACTCTAGCTTTGTTTTGACTTCCCTGATTTCTGGTATCCTTGACTTTTGACTTTCCCTTATCATTGTGTCTGATTCTGTGTTCCTGACCTCGGCAAGTATTTTGACTATCCTTGGATACGTTAAGTCCAGTCATTCTAAGGTCCGGTTATACGTTATCCTTAGTCCTAGGTGTGACACAGTTCTGCGTGCTGATCAACTTGTAATCTTGACAGGTCTTTTTCAGTCCGCAGACCATTCTACCAGATTTACTATTTCAGGTAAAATTCACCTGCTACCAGAAAAAGAAAATCCCTGAACATAAAGTTCCATTACGGACCTCTGTTCTGATATTTATGGGGATTCTTCTAGGTGTCCTTATATCTGGAATTTACAACCAATATGTGGCTTTCAGCTGTTGAGTCATCCTGCATAATATATTGGAGCTTGTTGATGACAAACATTTGGCTGATATGTTTTACATGATCTCTGTACCTAGATCTGTGTAAGTGATGGTCACTCCTAACATTGCATTGATGTAATACTTGTGGATTTTAAGCTTGGATTGGTGGATAATTTTACAGATAAAACATGCTGCAGAATGATCTTGTTATCACCCTAGGCTCTGTCTACGAAGAAGTAAGGAGAAGTATAGATCAGGGTGTTGCAGTGGATGTGATCTACTTGGATTTTGCCAAGGCATTTGATATGGTTCCTCACAATAGGTTAGTATTCAAAATAAAATAGATTGGTGTAGATGAATATTCTTGTTCTTGGGTAGAACATTGGCTTAAGGATAGAGTACAACGAGTCATTAATGAATTTTCAGGCTGAACAAAAGTGGTAAGTGTTATCCCTCAGGGTTCTGTTTTGTGACCACTTCTATTTAACATATTTATAAATGATCTTGAAATAGGGATTGAAATCCATGTTTCGGTGTTTGCAGATGACACAAAACTTTGTAAAGTAATAAAATATGAGCAGGATATTGCTTTGCTGCAGAGGGATTTGGATAGTTTGGGGGACTGGGCACT